AACTGCAGAAAGAACCAAGATGCCCTTCAATGGACGAATGGATCAAGAAGATATGGTCCATATATACAATGGAGTATTATGCCTCCATCAGAAAGGATGAATGCCCAACTTTTGTATCAACATGGACAGGACTGGAGGAGATTATGCTGAGTGAAATAAGTCAAGCAGAGAGAGTCAATTATCATATGGTTTCACTTATTTGTGGAGCATAAGGAGTAAGATAGGTTATTGGGACATGGAGAGGAGAAGTGAGTTGGGGGAAATTGGAGGGGGAGACAAACCATGGGAGACTGTGGACTCTGAGAAACTGAGGGTTTTGGGGGGCCATGGGGGGTTGGATGAGTCTGGTGGTGGGTATTATGGAGAGCATGTATTGCATGGAGCACTGGGTGTGGTGCTTAAACAATGAATTTTGGAACACCGAAAAAAATAAAATTAAATTTAAAACAAAGAAAATAAATGAAACAGTTGCTGAGGGGATCTGCTAAATTGTGGATTCAAATGAGAAAGCATCCCCAGTTTCCGGAACTGCTTTCTTTTCACCTAGTTACTCACATTTCCAGAGTTGCTCTTTAAATTGGTGTTCGTAGTTTGAGCAAAAGACTTAGGAAATAAAGCTGGGAACAGGCAGTTTTGACACAGTACAAACTTGATTTTCAAGCTCTGACTGAACCAGGGAAAGGTTCAGCAACTTAAGCCGTTAAAAAAAGGGACATCTTCGAGAAAGCACTTAATGCATTGCTGTTGCTCATGTCAGCTCATGCTTTGCCAATCTGGTCTCTGTTACTTACACACTTTAGCACCTCATTGCTGTTTCGTTATGTTTCTTCCACCAGAGGGTCCAAACTTTACCTGCCCAACTTCCTCCTCTTTGAAAGCCCAACTCAAATGACCCTTCCTCTACTGAGTCTTTACCTCCCTCCCCTTCCGTGTCTCCAAACTGGCCAGAATTAGTCATTCTCATCCTTGTGCTTTGTTCATATCTTTGTTTTAATACATCATAGTACATTTTTGGTTAAGTGGATATTTTGTTCATATCTTTGTTTTAACACATCATAGTACATTTTTGGTTAAGTGGATATTTTAGTTCATTTAAGCTGCTATAACAAAATACCACAGACTGGGTGGTCTATAAACAGCAAACATTTATTTCGCACAGTCTTGGGAGCTGAAAGTTCAAGATCAGGTTGCCAGCATGGTCCAGGAAGGGTTGCAGACTTCTCATTGTATCCTCATAAGGTGGAAGGCGTTCTCTGCATCATCCTTTTCTTTTTCCTTTAAGTTTTTATTTTGATTCCTGCTAGTTAATATCTAGTGTTACATTAGTTTCAGGAGTACAATAGAGTGATTCAACACTTCTGGGTATCACCCGGTACTCATCACGACAAGTGGACTCCTTAATTCTGGGGCCTCTTTTATAAGGGCACTAATCCCATTCATAAGGGTTCTGTCCTTATGACCTCATCACCTTCTAAATGCACTACCTCCTAATGCCATCACACTAGAGGTTAGGATTTAATATTTGATTTTTGGAGGACACAAACATTCAATCTATAGCAGTGTACATGGGTCCATCTTCGCTGCAAGGTGGAATTCCCTGAGGGCTGGGAGGGTTATTTTTTATCTTCATGTCCTTGCTCTCTGGTGCAATACAGGGTGTAGAGTAAGAACTCCTGAACTTTGACATTTTCAGGGCCCTTCTATTTAGCATCACCAGCTCTAAATACACTCGCTATTTTTTGTTCTCAGTGGCTGCTGAGCTGAATCTGTGATGATACATAGCAAACTCAGGATGTCCTTTGTGAATGGGCTCTGTTGGCTGGGTGGCTTCCCAGACATCTTCAGCCCATTGTTATACCCCATGAGAAGGCGCTGTGGGTGGGGTGGGATGGGACTCTTGAAGCAGATGCAGTATTCAAAGTCTCTCTCTCCCCACACTGTTACCGAGATGCTTGCTTCTCACCCCACTGGTCTTCCAAACCCAAATGTGTTTAATCACCTACAAGTACCACTCATTAACTGCCCCTAAAAACAATAATTAGGTACCACTTTTTAATGTGAAGTGATCCATGTTACTATTGTTTCCTCCACATACTGACTCTCCCACTGCTGGTATTGTGACAGCTAAATAAAAAGGCCAGTAATATGTGGGTTTCTGTTTTTTGTTTTTTGTTTTTTGTTTTTTTACCTTGAGGAAACAAAGACTACCCTGACGTAATGAGATACTAGGAATTTCAAAAGAGCCAACAGAACAATACAGATTCTTTCAAAAATGTTATTATAAAGCCACCAAGAAGGAATTATTCAGCAATAATATACGAGAGACTGGTTATTGTTAGAACTTACAGTCCATGGGGAGAGGTGGGGTCTTGGGGAGAGGCACCAAACTGTTCAAGACAACCTGCGAGGCGCGGGTGACCACACATGCACATATGTTGTTAGAGTTGACACTGTCTCCCAAGGACAGACATTAAAAAGCAGCTAAAATGCTCATGGGAATTGGTCAATGCACGTTTTCAGCAAAGCTTTCTAGTAATAAACTGAAATTTTTAAAAGAAACAAACCTCTTATTAAAAAAAAGTGTTCTGCCAAGTGCTGCTCTGTACAACATGAATTTTGGAGTCCTCACTGAAAAGCCACTTACCCTAATTTCCCAGGAATTTCTTGGTCAGAAGGTTTGGAATATGTCAGCACCAAGATTCTATCTCCTTGGCCCTAGCAGTACGCCCCTCCTTGCCCAAGGTTCCTCCTTGGCTCTGGATGGAAACCTTCCTAACTGCCATAGAATGCTTAGGTGACAAAACTGACATCTCACCACCTGATTGGCCGGGTGCCCAGGAGCACCCTGGGAAAGAATCTGAACATTCTTGGCAGTTGAGATCCAGACCTTGACGGTTGTAACTGATGGGTTGGGTTGGGCACTGCTGATGAGCCCTACATTCTTGAGAGAAAAATCATCCAAAGTAAGGCATTTTACATGATAGACTAGACTCAGCAGTGGGGTTTTTCACTGGAAAGGTGTGGTATTTTCAAGGACAAAGTATTTAAACCCACCTGGACACCATACCTGAACCTTGTGAATGAGAGGATTATGAAATAAAACTGAAAAACAAAACAAATCAGTATCATTTGTGGTTCCAGGCACTTGAAAGACTTGAGCATTAGAAAGGATGATGTTTCTGTGTGGGATGGAGAGAGGTGTTAGGACTGGAGATTAGAAGGTGGGAATGAGGAAATACAGGCAGGGGTAAGGATAGATAAGCAGGGTCATTGGAGGTTAAGAATGGGTCAGTACTCTCACGTTGGGTAGGTACCAAGCCTCACATGATCAGCCACTGCTCTGAGGGCCTGTGGGGATTTATTGGAATTGAGAGAAATTTCTTAATTTTAAAGGGAGAATGATCTATGTAAAATGATGGGACACTAATGACCAATACTACAGGGCAGTGACATTTTAATATAGTACAAACAGAGCACTAGTGATCCAAAGGAAGAAGGGATTTCTGGGAAGGTCATTAGAGGGGGATTAGAGAAGCCTTAATAGAAAACCAGAGACAGCATTGAGGTAGTTGGAGGGAGAAACATTGGAAGGTGAGATGTACCTTGATTTTGTTAGAGCTTTTTGGCACCTTCAATATCCTGCCCATTATAACCATTGTGCTTATTTTGGGTTCTTTAGTGTCTTCTCCATCTTTCTAGGTGTCATTATGAGGGGCCCTGACTTACTGAGGAGACCCATAGAGAAACCCCTCTCCCCATCACAACTACCTCATTACCGTGATCCTCCAAGGTGATCATTCCTGAGGATTATCAGAGAAGAAAGAAAACCAAAAGCCCATCAACAACAAATTGAAAATTGAAGTTGAAAGGCAAGTCTAAAAATTTGGAGTAAGAATTGTATCTAAGATGAAGTTTTATCCTTAAAGGGAATGAACTATATCTGTGGGAGTAAGACATGTATTAATTAATGGATTTTTTCAATGTGGCTATTTGAATAATTTATGTGAGTGCACATTTTACTACCTGAGATGAATACCTGTACGCTAGTTTACTTTTGGCTCTATCTTAGTATACAAGGCTGCTATAAAATGGAAGATGTAAAATAATTACAAGTTTAAGAGACTTTTCCAATAGGTGCTTAACCCTGCACTGGCCCTTTCGGAAAATGAGGATCAATACAACATGTATTAGAGAATTAACATGCTAGGAAGTCTAATTCTAATTTTTCTAAACCCTGGAGAAAAGAGATTAAAAGGGAAATAATAAAAATCATTTTCTCTTAATGCCATCATTTGCACTTTGGCCAAGTATAACAAGTACCAAGTGAAGGGGTGAGAAGTAAGGGGTCAGGTATATGGCTTGACAGTGTGTTCCCAACCAGCCTGCAGAGATGACCACACTGTTCTGCACTGGAAGTTTTTCTCCCTGAATTATCCAGGCCCGCTCTCAGTGCAATACAACCTCACTGATTCTTTGCCAAACTTTCAGTTCCCTTGAAGTGGCAGGTGCATAAAAGCCCACCTCCTATTGCAAACCTCTGAATTCCAACAGCATCCTCCTCTTGGCTATTCTTCTCCATCTGGAGTTTCAGCAACCAAATATTAGTGGCTGGCTGGTGGGTAGCTCTGAGTTTTGACTTCATGTTTGGACCAAGATGTCCTATTTGAAAGGAAAGGTAATTCTTTGGTATTATTTTTAAAAAATGACAATAGTGCTACCACCATCCTAACTCTATCATTCCTGACTAAAGCTTAGCCCCAAACGGTTTCTGGGGTTTCCACCCACAAGTTTATCAAAGATACTGCCAATATTAAACTTTAAATTACATTAATTTATTTCATATTCTCCTTCAAAGTAGTTTAATCCTTCCTCCCTCCCTCATCATCTCGTCCCTTCTTTCCTTTATCTCTCTCTTTTTCTTTTTTATAATCCACAGAAACCTCCTGACTACAACCTCCTGTGATCACCCACCTTGAGGGGTGTGTCCTCATGAGGTCAAGGCTTTCTGGGGTACATATGGCCTATCACCTGGACCACTAGGTGGGTGTTGTTAAATAGGGCCTGACTCATTTCAGGTGGCCACTGCATGGACAGAAGGTATTGGGAGGAGGATTTTTGTTTTTCTTTTTTCTTTTCTTTTCTTTTTTTTTTTTAATTATTTATTTATTTATTTGACAGACAGAGATCACAAGTAGGCAGAGAGGCAGGCAGAGAGAGAGGAAGGGAAGCAGGCTTCATGCCAAGCAGAGAGCCCAATGTGGGGCTCGATCCCAGGACTCTGGGAGTCCGAGCTGAAGGCAGAGGCTTTAACCCACTGAGCCACCCAGGTGCCCTGATCTTTGTTTTTCTGTTCCAGCCGCTCCATGGACATAACTCCCCATCCCTGCTTTACACCCATTCAGTCTTTTATGTCCATTGCCTGAAGTTCTGATGCAGAAACCCAGGGGTGAGAGAGGAATTAAGCCCTTTTCCCCTTTTATGCCTCCCTCCCTCCCCGAGGGAGTTCATTAAGAGCCAAAGGAGAACCGTGTCTTGGGAATAACCTTGGACTCTGAAAATCATGGGGTTCAAGTAGTTTATGAGAGGTGACTACTGATTTCTCTGGAATTCTTTTCCCTCAAAGCTTTTAGGAGACTGGCGGATTAAAATGTGTATCTGCCGGTGTTCAAGCTTCAAGCTTGGGCACCGGCCAGGGGGATCGATTGTTGTTAAAACGTTAAGTAAAGTAGGCAGTTTGACATGCAATGATGAGTTCACTTACCTAAAGAGGAATATGTATAGATAAAAGATCTGAAGTAAACGGAGGTATTTACAGCTGCATGTGAGGTTATAATTGACAACTTCCTCCTCTGGTTTTTTGCACTTCCCAACCCACAAAGAACATGTGTTATTTTTACCAATGGAGGGTTAAAAAAAAAAAACAACAACAAAAACCTTTAAGAAGAAATAATGTAGGGGGTAGGAATTGTACTTCTTTCATTTCATTGTTGTGGTTAATGACTTCTGCAGGGGACACCTGGCCTAACACCTGGGTGGTGGTTTACTAAGGAGGCAATCTGGGATCTGTTCTCGTGCTCTGTGGGCAGCAGAAACAGTGGTGTCCTGGAGACCTGGAAATGTCCCAGGATAAGTCCCCGACATGAATTCCTTACCTATGGAGTCCTGTGGGCTTGTCATGATAATCAAGTTATGCTGCCAGCTTGCTAATTTCAATAATAGAATCACCAAGTGTTAGACCTTGAGGGATCTTAAAGAATCATCTACCTTGTTTTCTCATTTTTGTGGCAGAACCAGGATGAGAGTCTGATAGTAATATTACCTTTCAGTAGGCAAGTCACTATGTGACAGGAATGGTACCAGGGACTTTATGTAGGTCAATCTTTAATCATACTATTAACAAAGGTATGCATCATTCTTATCTTGAAGTTATAGAGGCAGTTGGATGATTAAGTGCTCTCTGCACCTCTACTTTCTCATCTATAAAGTAGCTTCTAACTGGAGTCCAAAGTGGGCTCCCTGTTTTGTTCCAAAATGGGCTCCTCATACACAATTCTGCCTCTTTATTTTTCAGCATGGGCTACATGATTCCCAGTCTTAGAGATTTATCTCTTGTTGCCACATTTAAAACCTAGGTCTGTTTTAACCTGTGTTAACTGTGTGGATCAACCCTTAAATTACAGTCCTCTTGTTGGATTAGTCTGGCGTTGCCATGAAGAAGCCCACTTCCGAGTTTGAAGGCTCACATTTGCTCCTCAAAGCAGTATGGCTACAGGCCTTCAGCCCGAGCTCAGACATGCTTTCAATTACTTACCCACTTCCTTTTCCTTGTGAATGTTCCTATTTACAGGCTGTGGGAGTGTCTGGCTAGAGTGAAGGTATGGTGGCCAGGAGATTGGCATCAGAACCCCAGCTGTAGGATAGGAGTTGGGAGGGGAGCTTGAAGGCCGTAGCACTCTGAGGCCTTTGCTGGTGGTGGCTCAGCGTGCCGCCTTCTGAGCTTTCTGCCCTCCCACTGTGGGAAGTTTGGGCTGACCTGGTCTTTGGGGAAAGAGAGAACTGAAGGCTTTCTGAGCTAAAGGTGGAAGGGAGTTAGGGCAGAGAGGTATCTTCTCTTTCAGAGGAAAGTTAAAGTCTTATATCATGAAGGGAATCAACTTGGAGTACATTCTCCATGTTTCAGTCTTGCCAGAGGCATCTGGTTAATCAACTATTCTGAACAAGGGTGATGGTGTGTGTTATATGTGGCTGAATACTTTTCCAGGGATTATAACACAATAAAGTATGGGTAAAACCCAAACTACAGTAAATATAATTAAATCTTTCTTTGATGATTCATGAGTCCTTTAGGATCCTGTAGTGCCTCAGGGTCACCATTATGTAGATCATCATCCTTGATGAGGCAGGCAGCTAAATAAAAATACCAGATTGTAAGTTATAGACCTCACTTCTACTTTGCCTACCTGGGTGGTCTTGGGCGGGTGTCTTGACCTCTTGAGCATCCAAAGTAGGGGTGGCCACATTACATCATAGGGCTGTCATTGAAGAAAACTATGTGCATCAAGACTGTTGTAATTATTACTATTAAGCTAGCAGTATATCAAACTGCTGGTTGATAGACAATTGTAGTACGTGTTTTTTTTCTAACATGATTCAAAGTAATTCACTCTAGTCTCCTTTTAAGGAAAGCATGGCTTCCCCAGGAGCAGGTATTGCTGAGAAGTGATATTAGTCATGGGCCAGCAAAAGCGTTTTTAAACAGCTAAAGTGGTATATGGATTTTGTGAAAAAATTAGAATGTTACAGGAGAGCATATGAAAAAAGAAAATCCTCTTCTGCCCTCATCATCTCAGTCTCCCCCAGAGGGAAGCTTTATGTAGTTCAGTGTCTATGTGCACATATGTGTGTAACAGATATATGTTATGCTGTTTATTAATGTCCTATGACTTTGCTTCCCCCCCTCCTTAATAACATATCTTGAGGATATTTTCGTTCTTTTTTTTACAGCTGCATCTGCCTGGTCTTTTATAATGTGGATGAGTTTTTTCTTGTTTGACCATTGTTCTGTTGATAAACATTAGGTTATTTCTAGCTTTTCTACGGTAAGCAATGCTGCAGTGAGCACAGAATGTACCAACTGTAGCCACTCGGTCACTTATTACCACCTCTGGTCATTTCAACCCCTAGGTCCTAAAACACATTCTTGGTGTATCTGCCTTCTGAAAGAGAGAGCATCAAATAGGAACAAAGATCGGGACTTTAACGTGCGGGGATTTCTGAGACACGGATTCACTGGTACCATTATCACTGCATCCCAATTGTAGGGAGTTTCCAGTAACTTCCGAAATCCCCTTTTGTACCTCTTTGACTTTAATGACCACACCTACCCCACCTCGAGGCAACTACTGATAATGATTTTTGTCTCTCAACTTTTGCCTTAAATTTCATAAAATGAAACGACAATATGTAGTCTTTGGTGTCTGCTTATCCTTACCAACATGTTTTTTGAGGTTCAGCCATGTTGTTGGATGCATCAGTTACTGCTGAGTAGTATTCAGTACTTAGATCAACATTTTACTTATTCTCTGGGATTGTTTCCAGTGTGGGGCTATTTTCAGTTTTTGCCTATGACACAGAAGGATACTATGAATGTTTGTGTACAAATTTCTGCATGGACATATATTTTATTTCTCATGGGTAAATACGTAGGAGTAGAAATCCTGGGTCTTATGATTAAGTGTACATTTAACCTTTTTTCTAAAAAAAGGCCAAATTATTTTCTAAAGCGGTCATTTTATATTCCTACCAGCAATGTGTAAAGTTCCTAGTTTCTTCACTTCATCAATAACACTTAGTATTATCAGTCATTTTTATTGTAGTTCTTCTACTGGTCTGGTAGGGCTATCTCATTGTCATCTTGATGTGTATTTTCCCATTAATAATGATATTGGGCACATTTTCATGTGTTTATTAGCCATTCATGTATATTCTATGATAAAGTGCTTCATCAAATCTTGTATTTTTATATATTCTGAATACAAAACACCCGTATATATTTATACATATGATTCATATATAGATAAATGATTTATGAGTATTTTTTCTTAATCTATGGCTTGTCTTTTCATTTCATTTCCTCAGTGGTGATTTTTGGAGAAGTATTTAATTTTGATGAGTCTAAATTTGTTAATTTTTTCTATTATGGATGATGCTTTGGGTGTCATATCCGATAAATCTTTGCTCACCTCAAGGTTGCTAAGATTTTCTCTTAAGTTTTCTTCTAGAAGTTTTATACAAACAAGGTGATTTTATAAGTTTCAAAGCCTGGATGAAACTAATGTTTTCTGTAGGCCCTTCCTTTACTAAAATCAATGGATCTATGGAGTTAAATCTATAGAACAGTTCTTTTCTACTTTTTCACAGTGGTTTTTACAGTTTGGCTAGATTGTGTACCTACAGAATCACTACAGTGGTCTTTGTTACTGACCCCTTAAAATTTTTTCCCAAGATAGAATGTAAGATCATATCTATTTAGAAGGATCAGAAAAAGTTTTCTTTGAAGAAATCATACTTATTTCCTACACCATAAATAGATTATTCTCTGTGTTATATCATTTAGCAAATGTAGGGCACTCTCTCTCAATACCAATGCAGTAAAGTCATTTCCTATTACCAGCTGTTTTGACATGGCGTATTTCCACTTCTCCTTATTCCTAGTGACTCATTTTATTTCTCTGGATAATGAGGCTATGATTTATCAGCTCTTAATAAGGTTCTGTGTGTGTGTGTGTGTGTGTGTGTATGTTTTAAGAGCTATGTTGCTTTTAATTATTAGAGCTTCAATCTCATTTCTTTCAAAGCTTCATTGATCAGAGCATATATAGGTCCTCATTCCTTGTTTGAAACTCTTAGGATCAGATACATTTTTACATGCATAGTTTAAAATAAAGTTTTGCATTTTTTTAAAAGAAAGGTAATATACTGAATATTCTGAATGAATAAAATATCTCTCGGGAATCAGGATAACGACTACTTCATAATAT